CGTTTAGGAGTAGGAAATTCCTGCTCTCTGATTGGCTCGTTTTAAAGACGCGCTCTTAAAGAAGAGAAGTAAATAAAAAAATGCAAATAATAAAAATTATGTCAATTACATGTATATTTTTAGCCGCGAGCTAGCCTTTGCCCATATGTCCCGCCTCTGCAACAAGTACTCAAGAATTCGACGACAATCAGAAGTTGAGTATTTAGCTCAAAAAAATGCTGTCGGTTTGGCCGAGTGGTTTAAGGCGCGGGATTTGAAATCCCGTGGGTTCTTCCCGCACAGGTTCGAACCCTGTAGCCGACGATGGTCCTTTGTATCCGTCGATTTTGCTTTTTTTTACAAGTTTGTGGTAGATCTTTTTATACATGCTTAAAGGTTGCGCAAAAATAAATAAAAATGTCGACAGCAATGCCAATTTGATACAGGGGTGAGAAGCTCTCGGAAAAAACCCGATGGGAAAAGAGAGAGCTTAAAGGGGGTTGGAAGGACACGATCCCCGAACGCGCGAGGAACGTGTATAACTCGCCAAGTGTGCGCCACTTGGGGAATCCACGGATCCGATGCCAGGAAATGCGGGGGGGGGGGGCTTGAACAAAGGCGTCAGGCTGGGCAGGCCGGGCCGTCGGGATCGGAATCAGGGTCCTGCATGTAAAGCAGGGATAAATCGAAGTGGTGCATAACTGCTGATTGGCTGAGGAGGGTGGCCTGTGCGTCAGAGCGCAGCCGATAGTTGTATGTGTCCATGAAGCACTTGCGGCTCCAGCGCTCAGCACTGTAGGCGTTGTCGTTGCGTGCCACCCAGAGGATGTGGATGAGCAAAGCCGCGGCCAGCTGAGCAGTGGCAGAGCAGCCCAATTGGAAAGATTGGGGCGCTCGCGCGGCAGTCTTGCGATTTTTACCGGTTTTGGGCGCACTGCGGGCACGAGCCTGGGGATGGTGCCCTCTGCGGCTGCCACCTCGTCGGCTAGCTTCTGTTGTGCGGCTGTGGCCAGGCGGGCGGCCTCTACGGCGGCGTCCTCTAGCTCGCGGCGGACAGTGGGAAGGATGGCATGCGCGAGTTCAACCCAGTTGTCGCAGAACATGCCGCGGAAGGGGTCAAAGTCCTTGCATCTGCCGGTGAGGTGAACGACTGTTTCGGGCGCGAGGCAATGGCACGTCTTGGGGTAGTCGCCTTGTCGCCGCGGGATACGATTGATGCTGAGGCGGTGGATTGTGTTGCGCGCCTGTGGCGTGGCGTGCAGCTTCCGGATCGCCTTCCACGGCGTCTTCGTCTCAGAGTATTTGGGCAGGGCATAGCCTCCGCCACTCAGCGTGATCGTGGGGTATGTGAGGGGTGGTGCTGCGTCCAGCATCTTGCGCACAGTGCCGTGGTATGACCACAACTCGTACGGAATGGCAAGGGGCTCCGGCGCATTTGGCCCTGCCTCCGGCTCTGCCTCCGACTCTGCCTCTGACGCCATCTCCGGCGCGGCTGGCAGTGGTGCCATTGGCAGCTCCTCTGTCGGGTGAAGGCTCGGCTCGGGGATGTCGAGGTAGCAGTATACGGTTACTGCATCGGGTGAGGGCGACGATGGCAGACGTTTGTCGCCATACGCCCAGTTGAGCGTGTAGAGGCGGGAGAGGCTCTCCGCGGATCTCGCCTCGGGCGTGGGGCAATGACGCAGGTAGTAGCGCTTGAGCTCGCTGGCCATGCTCATTTGGATGTGGCGGTCCTGGCCTGGCTCCAAGTACTGCGCTAGCCCGCGCACTTTGTTGGATATGTCCATGATCTGAGCAACCGTGAACATTGGCGGCTCGCCGAAAGGAGTAGTAGGCGGGTACATCTCGCTCAAAATGCGAAAGAAGATGTTGTACTCGGTGCTGCCGCCTATGAATAGGTCTAGCACGCTGTGAGGGTGTCCGAGCGCCGGGCGCATCAGAGAGGAGCCTTCCTCTAGCGTGTGGGCGAGGTCAACGCGGAATTGCTGATGCTTGTGGCAAACAGCGTGCGCTTCCTGCCACGCTGGCGGCCAGGCGTCAAGGGGGAGGTTAGCCCACGACATGTGCTGGCTGAACGGGTCGAAGAGAATGCGCGGCAAGTGCTGCGGAGCGAGGTCTCTGAGCGGTTTGGGCACAAATGGGCTGCTGGAGCGCCGCAAGATGGCCATGTGCCAGAGCGCAATGTACATGTCCGGCCAGTCCAGCCGCGTGAGAGGCGCCGAGGGGGGCGTCTGGGGCTGGAGGCGCCTGGCGACATAGTTGGTGAAGAGCGCTACCTGGTTTAGGCGAGTCGCTCGGTAAATGGATGGCAGCGAGGGGAGGCCATAGCCGCCTTCGTTGCGTGGGAGAGCCGACTGCGGGTGGGCTAGGAAGCCGCCTATGCGGCCCCAGAAGGCTCTGCGGATCCTCTTATCGGTGTCGTGGATCATCTCCATCGAGAAGGACTCAAAGCGGAAGATGAACTGGAACCGGGGGATGACGAAGGCCGTGAGCGCAAAGGCGCGGCCCGCCATGGTGTGCTGGCCTCGCATGGCGGTGGTGGTGGCGGCGACAATAATGTCGATTTGCGCCTGGCGCTCAGCGTTGCGCGTCGCTACTTTCACGCGCACTCCGAGGCGGATGCCGAGGTAGCGCAGCGTGTGCCCCTCAGGGAGCGGGCTGACAGGCAGGTAGGCGGGCAATTGCGCGGGAGGAGCGCCGGCGGCGGCTGGGGGCGCAAAGTTGAGGATCTTGGGGTTTGACTCGTTGAATTTGGCCGTAGTCGCGTCGCAGTACCAATTCAGGAGGGGTGTAGCTCGGCAAAGTTGTCACCCTGTTCGTCGTCGGGTCTTGCTTCGATTCACCGCAGCTAGCCTTGGAACTCGATTATCGACACGTTCTCCGGCGCCTCCAGCAGGCCCGCAATATGTCGGCTCTCGAGCTGCAAGGGCTCCACGCACCCCATCTCGCTCGCAATCTCGACTGCGCGTGGATATCCGCCAGGCCATTCCATCGCGAGGTTGTCAGGTAGCGCGAGTGCCAGAGCATCAGGCCCCGCCTCCAGCACGCGTGGCGATGTCGTGCGGCTGGTGATAGTGGACTAGGCTGCGCTCGGCGTCATCTATGCTGTGGTCGTCCTCGACCTCTTCGACAGTCGTGCGATGCGTCTCGGCGTCCTCCATTTCCACCCGGCCTTCTACATCCGACATGTTCGCCGCGTTGCTTGGAGCAGGCTCAAGGTCGCTCATCGCCTCCGCGGCATCCCCCCATATCTTCGTCTTCCCTCTCATCGACGCCACTATATCCGTCGTCGTTGAGAGGTTCCTCTATCTCGTCGAGCTCTCGGCAAGTTTCGCCTTTCTCTTCTTCTTTTTGATTTGTATTTCCTTCTGCCTGCTCCTCCGCGACCTTTGCTGCCGTCGCCTCGCCAGGGCTGTCGTCCGGTGCAGTGTCGTCCTCGCTGGCGGAATAGCTCGACACATCGCTTTCTCTCTCGCCAGATTCAATGTTCTCTGGTTCTCGGTCGGTCCCGCTACTGCTCGGGGGCGACTCCTCCTCCGAGGAGCTGTAGTCGCTTATCTCTGGCTGACGGAAGGCTTGGACGCGGGATCTGATTTGGATTCCGATGTGTCGTCGTCTGCCTGCTCCTCGCGTAGCTGGTCAATCAGCGGCCGCTCCGGCTCGGTAGGACTTGCCTGCGTTCGTCCAATAGTGTCCAGTATCTCGGCCATCTGCTCGTTGAGCGACTGCTCCGACCGCGTCTCACGCGGTGGCTCGGACGCTGCGTCGCTCATCGGCGCGGCCTCAACCACGCGCACCTGCTCGATGAGGGGCCGGTCTGAGAGCGTGGGGCTGGCGGCGGCGGGCCGAGGCTCGTCGTTGGGTTTCTCGCGCTCCTGATACATGAGCGGCGTGCCTGACCCAGTGGGGCTACCACCGCCGCCATAGTACCTTACCTCGCCCGCCTCCTCGTCATCCAGCGTTTAGGCCAACGGCCAGTCGGACCAGGTCGGGTTTCTGAGCGTCGCGACAGGCGCGTCTTCCTGGTAAGGCGACTCTGATGAGCTCAACCACCCTGGGGACTCTTCTACGATTGCTGCGCTCCTCTCGCTAACCACCTCTAGCTCCTCCTAGCCTCCCTCATAGGTCGCTCCTGATCGGACAGGCCGGATCGTTCCCCGGAAGGGCAATACGATGTCCGCCGGCACGCCTCTTGATAGGGGACCCCGCATAGGGTGTTGAGGAAGTACGTGCTACCAATGCTGTACGCCACCACAAAGGAGCCCACCCGTCGGGTGCGCTGCGTCGTCACTAGCCCTGGCAGGCCCGTGCGCTTCAGCGTGATGCGCTGGCCGGGCTCGAACCAAATGGCCTCTCGGGTGCTGTTGACTCTGTCCCGGGCCCTGCGCCGGACTGCCTCGTGATGCGCTCTTGTCTGCTCGTCTAGGCGCCGCTCTACCTCGAACTGGGTGGGCAGCTCTTGGCCGGGCTCCGCAACCACCTGCCAATCGAACTATGTATCGTAATCGTCGGGGCCATAAAACCGCTCGAGTGGGGTACAGCCCAGCGTTGGCAAGTACGTTACGGCGAGCGACGCGCAGATCCGGGGAATATACTCAACCTAGACGTCCCTCTCTGGATTGTCTGTACTGGTCATTCGTAGTGCAGACTTGAACAGGCGAACGCCAATCTCCGCCAGGTCTGACTGCGGATGGTAGGTCGTCGTCTTTATGTGGCGAATCTCGCGCTCTCGCAGGAGGTCTTGGAAGTGACCCCCTAGGAAACACGCCCCGTTGTCGGTCATAATAAACAGCGGGTCGCCATGCACGGTCAGCCAGTTCTCCCGGAGGACGGTGGCTGCCGTTAACGACGTCTGGTCCTCCATCGGGTATACCTCCGTCCATCCACTGCAGGCATCGCGCACCACCAGGCCGTATCGCGCCTTGTCGTCGCACACCCCCGGCTCCATTATGTCGGTGTAGATGTGCACCCGTGGCTCCGGCAGGTCTGATGCCTCCAAGTGGCTGTACACATAGTGCTGCACTCCCGGGCGATGCACCAGCATGTCCTTCGATATGCCCAAATGTGTCAGCGCTGCGCGGAAGCGGCTCAAGTCGTCGGCATCGTCCCGCGTCTTGTGCGAGAACAGGCCGATGACTGCCAATGCGTCGCTCTCAATCTCAAGGTTATTGCAGCCATCCAGTAACGGGTAGAAGTATTGCACAGCCTCAACAACTGTCTTGGCCTCACTTCACGTCGAGTTGCGGTGGCCTTGCTGCCCGTCGAATACCTTGGAGAAATATCCGACTGGCGCGTTGTCCTCGTGTTCCTTGCTTTTCTGCGCG